TGGCATGTGGTGCTGGGGGATTGAACCGCGGTCCCTGTGCTTTGCTAAGCTTGTTCTAAGTAGGTGCTTTAGACCACTGAGCCATCTCACCAGCCCCCCTGTCCAGTTTCAATAGTGGTCTCCGCGTGCACCCTGGGGGCGGGGGCGGCAAGGCATGCCAGGGATGGAACCCTAGTCCCTGCATCTGCCGAAGCAGGCACTTCAATCTGCTGAGCCATCTGGCTGGCCTTCTATTATTTTTAAAGATCTTTTTTTTTTTTTTAAGTTTATTTATTTGATTTATTATTGTGTGTGTGGCCAGCTCAGCCCACCTGGGGGCGGGGCTGGCTGGCATGTGGTGCTGGGGGATTGAACTGCAGTCCCTGTGCTAAGCTTGTTCTAAGTAGGTGCTTTAGACCACTGAGCCATCTCACCAGCCCCCTGGCCTTCTATTATTTTTAAATTGTGTGCAAGAAATTGACCCGCACGTACAGTCATTCCAGCTGCCAGCACAGCTGGAGATGGGGCAGCTTGTGGGACTTGGGAGATTGAATGGGAGCTTGGTCGCTGAAGATTTCAGAGGTCCATGTCTGTCCCACTGCTACTATAAAATCAGGCTGTGATTGCGCAGGCCAGCACATCAAAAGTGGATTGGGGGTGCTTACTTATGGTCCCAGCATTCTGGGAGGCTGAGGCAGGAGGATCACACATTTGCGCTCAGCCAGGGTAACTTAGTGAGACCTTGTCTCAAAATAAAACAAAATTTAAAAAAAAAATGAGGCTGAGGCTGTAGCTCAGTGTAAAGCCCCTGGGTAGAACAGGATGTGGTGGTGCACACCTGTAATGGGCCCCTAGCTATCCCAAGCCCTTGCCACAAGGCAGCCACCCTGGCTGAGGCTGGCAAGGTCCTCCCGGAACTCACTGTGCACACAGCTGTCTGCAGGATGGCATCGAAGCCACCTTCGGGGGCATCCAGGTTGCCTGAGATCCGCTCACCCTGCAGCTTATCTCTGAACTCATTCACATCCTCTGTGAGGCTGATGACATTCTTGAAGGAGAAGGGGGGGTCACTGTTGGGCCAGGGCTCCTTCAGCCTGGGCAGAGGTGGGAGAGAGAGACAGTCAGGAAGGGAAAGACCCCATAGGCCCCAGTGCCCACCACTCACTTCAACCAGAGAGAACTCCCAGCACCAGCAGGAGAGGAGGAGGTGGCTACCTACCCACCCTGGCCTCACTTGGTCACTCACTTCTCAGGCCTCATGTCCGTCTGAGGGACGCTGACCTTGTCTACAAACTTGCCAAATCCAATCGTGTAGTCGCTGGTGAGCTGACTCAGGACTGTGGCTGGGTATCAGCAAGAGAAAGGGGGTCATCTGAGCCCCAGAACCCCCACACAGACATGGGGGGTGCTGGGCTGGCTCAGAAAGAAGGGAACAGAAGAGCCACCTTTTGTTAACACTTTGCATGCTGGACCTCAGTTTGTGCTCCCAGTAGTACTTGTACCTATTTACAGATGAAGGACATGGGACTTGGGGGGGCCTAGAGTTATTCATCAAGTACTGAGCACTGGGGAACTAAGCCTAGCTCCATCTGCAGAGCCGTATGTTCACAGTGCTGTGGCAGAGGGTGCCCTCCTTGTCACAGCCAGATGGGCCATGGTATGTAATGGTCAGCTGGGACTGGAGAATGGGTTGGGGTTCTGAGGGGCTTGAATATTCCTGTCTTTGCTCGTAGGTGGCTGTAGCCTCTTGGCCAGGCTAGATTAGGCTCCCATCCCGCTGTGTTGTCTTCCACGCTGGCCCAGCCATACCCAGTTTCTGCCCCATCTGCTTGAGATTGTCCAGGTCATCAGACATGGAGTTGGAGAAGTCCATGAGGATGTACAGGTCCACGGGGCTCTCCAGGGGTTCAAACACCTCCAGCTCAAAGTGCCGTTCCTCGCCTGGCCGTAGGCGGACTTTCAGGGCTTGGGGGGACACCTGGCTGCGGCCTTTGGTGATGTCGATCTGGGTGTCCTGTATCCAGGCAAGAGGGACAGCTGGTCAAGGGTCACTACAGAGACCTGAGGGGACCCCTTTTGTTGTGCCAAGAAGCCACGTGGCTCCGGTAACCAGCCAGCCTCGGGCCCAGGGGGCCCAGAGCCCGACCTGCTCCAGGTACCTCTGTGATCTCAAAGCTGCCCTCCATGACCACCATGCTCTCCAGGCGGCAGCCTGCAGCTAGCAACTCCGCCTGGGTGTTGCAGCGGCGCTCCTTGAACATCTGGCCAAAAGCAGACGGATTCGGTGAGGGCGGGGACCGTTCTCGGGCTGTCCATTCCCCCCACCCCTCCGCTGGATTTATTTTCCCCCTATTTCGTGATGTGGGTGTGTGAGGATACTGGGGGTTAAAGTCGGGACCTTTGCACTTAGCTACATGTCTAGCTCTTTAATTTGTTTTCTTTTTTAGGAGTGGTGGTGGTGGTGAAGACAGGGTCTTACTACATCGTTCAGGCTGGCCTTGAACTCATGGCAATCCTCCTGCTTCAGCCTGCCAAGTGCTGGAATAGATAAAGGCATATGCTACCATGCCCAGCCTTTATTTATTTATTTAAATTTATGTATTTGGTACAGGGTCTCACTACGCAACTTGGACTTACAGTGATCCATCTGTTTTCAGCCTCCCCAGTGCTGGGATTACAGGTGTGCACCACCATGCCTGGTCTTGGTGGCCAGCTCAGTGTGCCTGGGGGCAGGGCTGGCATGGCATGTGGCACTAGAAATCGAACCCCAGTCCCTGTGCTTGCCTAAGCAGGTGCTTTGTCCACTGAGCCAACTCACCAGCCCCTATTCCTAGCCTTTAAACCAATTGTTTTGGTTGTTTTTTTTAAATATTGAAACAGGGTCTCATTAAATTACTAAGTTGTCTAGAGTGGGCTGAGACACGAGATCTTCCTGCATCAGCTTCTCAGAGTGCTGGGATTTCAACTGTATACCACTGCCTGTCTATCCCCCAAGATATCTTTGATGCTTGCCTCTTCTGCACATCTCCCTGATCCAGGCCTGGGCTGAAGGGGTGGCCAGGGTGGGGTTGGCCAGAGCCAGAGGTGAGGGGTGGTGAAATAGGCATCCAGGTCAGGCTTAAGAAGGTGGGTCCAGCCCATGGAGCTCACCTCATCGGTGCAGTAAGCGCAGTCCTTGTCCACGCGTATACACTCAGTGCAGCTCTTCACCTGTGCCCTCCTGCAGCGGTTGGCTGTGGGCAGAAGGGGGCAGATGCCTCACCAGGAGAGGTCTTACTGGGTACCATGCCCTTTGCTACGTGAGAGAGGTGGGGCTCTCTTCTGATTGTACTAAGGAGAAAAATGGCCTGTGCCAGGCAGCACAGCTAGGCATCAGCAGAGCCGGGTCTCAAACTTGGGACTGTCCACTCAAGTCTGGAGAGCAGGTTGGGGCTGACATGGTGGTGCTGGCCACATGCTGGTTTGGATGTCCTTTACCCCCCTTGTTCAGGTCCTGTGAATGTTTTTTCTTCCCTGGAGTTCAGAAGTTCAAGAACAGTCCACACCATAACACAGTAAAAGACACCTCAGCTCTAAAACATAAATAAAGCCAGGCATGGTGGCATATGCCTGTAACTCCAGGATTCAGTAGTCTGAGGAGTTGGGACCATGGATTTAAGGTCAACATGGAGTGCATCCAGGGTACCGTGCTTTTTGTTTGTGCTTCCAGGCATAACTGCCAACTGACTAATGTGTGCTTTGAACCTCCACTGCGGTCAGGGTGTCTGTGTTTGTCTTATTTATCACCTAGAACAAGACTCAGCATATAGTAGTTCCTCAAGAGGTAAATGAAGGGGCTGGGGAGATGGCTCAGTGGAATAAGCGCTTCCCTGGCAAGCGCAAGGGCCTGAGTTCAATCCCCGGTTCTACCAAAAAAAAAAA